TGCCACGGCGATTCCCTGATTTCATCCAGCTGATTGCGTTGAGGTCGCTGACCTCATTCATATTGCTCGACTCCGCGGGGCTTACGTGCGGAGAGGAGACCACGGCTGGTCAACCTCCATCTCATTGGCACTTGGGGGCCTCTTAGGCTGTTTTGGGGCTATCTTGGAAGCCTCTTGGGCGGTCATTCGGCGAACTTTGGGGGCTCTTGGGCCGTCTCGGGCCGTCGGAAGGCCGAAAAGAAGAAAACGTCAAAATCCTTCAAAAACCTCATGCCCCTTGGGCCGTCTTGGGTCAGTTTCGAGCCAATTTCGGCCATCTTGGTGGGTTCCTGGCCCGTCTGACGCCATCGGGAGCCGTTTTGGGGGCCTTTCTGAACCGGCTTGGGGCGCTCCGGGGTCGTCTTGGAGGCCATCTGGGGCGTCTTGGAGGCCTCTTGGCCCGTCTTAGGGCCCTCTTGGAGCCGTCTTGGGGGCCTCTTGGGCCGTCATGGGGCCATCTTGGAGGCCTCGTGGGCGATCTTGGGCGCCTCTTGGGCCGTCTTGGGCCGTCGGAAGGCCGAAGAGAAGCAGATGCCAAAATCTTTCGAGACCGTCAGGAAAATCAATGGTGTTGGCCTCTTCGGGACCTCCTTGAGGACCTCTTGGACGTTTTTTGGGTCGTGTTGGGCCGTCTTGGAGGCTTCTTGGGGGAACTTGGAGGTATCTTGGACTCTCTTGGGCCGTCTTGGAGGCCGTCCTGGACACTCTTGGGCGGATTTGGAGGCCATTTTGGACCATCTTGGAAGCCATCTTGGGCCAACGTGGCCATCTTGTTGACCATCTTGGGCCATATTGAGCGAGACATTTGTGAATTGAGCCCCTTAAAGATCGTCCCGGGACCCCGGCGGGACGCGCCGGAGCCCCAGGGGGAGTTTTTTTTTCCCCCCCAACCCTCCTGCGTTGGGTTCTCGTTTCGAATAGAGCACTGCTCGCGCGTCTCCTTCGCACTCGCGCGTCTACTTCCCGCCCCCTCCCGTCCCTCTCTTCCCCCCTGCCTTTGACCTCGCCATCCCTGGGGGGCTGCGATATGTGAAACTGTCGCCACTTTCGAGGGCTGCTGGGGGGCCCAGCACAGTGGGTACTTACCGCGGATTCAAATTAGACCTCGCCATCCCTGGGGGGCTGCGATCTGCGAAACTGTCGCCACTTTCGAGGCCTGCTGGGGGGCCCAGCGCAGTGGGTATTCACCGCGGACTCAAATTAGACCTCGCCATCCCTGGGGGGCTGCGATCTGTGAAACTGTCGCCACTTTCGAGGCCTGCTGGGGGGCCCAGCACAGTGGGTACTCACCGCGGATTCAAATTAGACCTCGCCATCCCTGGGGGGCTGCGATCTGTGAAACTGTCGCCACTTTCGAGGCCTGCTGGGGGGCCCAGCACAGTGGGACTCACCGCGGACTCAAATTAGACCTCGCCATCCCTGGGGGGCTGCGATCTGTGAAACTGTCGCCACTTTCGAGGCCTGCTGGGGGGCCCAGCACAGTGGGTACTCACCGCGGACTCAAGTTAGACCTCGCCATCCCTGGGGGGCTGCGATCTGTGAAACTGTCGCCACTTTCGAGGCCTGCTGGGGGGGCCAGCGCAGTGGGTACTCACCGCGGAATCAAATTAGACCTCGCCATCCCTGGGGGGCTGCGATCTGTGAAACTGTCGCCACTTTCGAGGCCTGCTGGGGGGCCCAACACAGTGGGTCACTCACCGCGGACTCAAATTAGACCTCGCCATCCCTGGGGGGCTGCGATCTTTGAAACTGTCGCCACTTTCGAGGCCTGCTGGGGGGCCCAGCACAGTGGGAACTCACCGCGGACTCAAGTTAGACCTCGCCGTCCCTGGGGGGCTGCGATCTGTGAAACTGTCGCCACTTTCGAGGCCTGCTGGGGGGCCCAGCACAGTGGGTACTCACCGCGGACTCAAATTAGACCTCGCCATCCCTGGGGGGCTGCGATCTGTGAAACTGTCGCCACTTTCGAGGCCTGCTGGGGGGCCCAGCACAGTGGGTACCCACCGCAGATTCAAATTAGACCTCGCCATCCCTGGGGGGCTGCGATCTGTGAAACTGTCGCCACTTTCGAGGCCTGCTGGGGGGCCCAGCACAGTGTCACCGCGGACTCAAGACCTCGCCATCCCTGGGGGGCTGCGATCTGTGAAACTGTCGCCACTTTCGAGGCCTGCTGGGGGGCCCAGCACAGTGACGCCACGCAGATTCAAATTAGACCTCGCCATCCCTGGGGGGCTGCGATCTGTGAAACTGTCGCCACTTTCGAGGCCTGCTGGGGGGCCCAGCACAGTGACGCCACACGCAGATTCAAATTAGACCTCGCCATCCCTGGGGGGCTGCGATCTGTGAAACTGTCGCCACTTTCGAGACCTGCTGGGGGGCCCAGCACAGTGTCGCCACGCGCGGACCCAAAGTAGATCTCGCCATCCCTGGGGGGCTGCGATCTGAGATCCCCGCCTTCGAAGTGGCTAAGGTTGCTCAGGGATTGTAGCTAATCAGCTTTATGTAGTCCTTGTCCTGTAGCCAGTGTCCTGCGAGTGTCCCGAATTCCGTCTGCAGACATATGTAACCCTCGTTCCGTCATCGCCCCCTTTCTAAAGTGTCCTAACTTATTTGCGCCCCGCGTTTGTGCAGGAGTTGGGTACGTCGCCATGGTATTTTGTTATTTTTTGGGAAAAAGAACCAAAACCAAAACCGAAAGGGTTCAGCACGCCAGGCACCCCTGCGATGAATCGAGAGGGGGCGGCGGATCAAATGCATTCGGCTCATCCCGCCACCGTGCCTGGGCCGTGGGCCAGGGGCGTCTTGGACGCCTGTCAGGGGTTGGGTATTGGGTCCTCTTGTGATGCCTCTCTCTTGCATTCTTTTTGAAAGCCTCTGGGGGGTTTGTTGGGGGCCCCCTCGGGGGCCTGCTGGGAGCATATTTGGGGTGTTTTCTTGCTGCCTCTTGGGGCCTCTCGGGCGCTTCTTGGTCGTCTCCAGGGCGTTCTTGGCTGCAGACGGCTACAAAGGTTAGTTCGCGTTCCCCCTCTTGGGCGCCTCGTGGGGCCGTCCGGAGGTCCTCTTAGGCCGTCCTCCGGCCAGGGTGGGCGTCTTGGAATGATCTTTGGGCGACTCGGGGCCCTCTTGGCCCGTCTTGGGGCCCATCGCCTCGGGAAAAGTAGCGCGGTGACGCGCAGCATGCGCCAGGAGCGCCCAAGAGCGCCCAAGAGCGCCCAGAGCTCTTGTAGGACGAACATTACACTGCAGAGGACTTTAAGGGACCTGAGGTCACTCCAACTCGTGCCTCGCGGCACGGTGGGTGATTCGTTGGTTTTGGGCCACCTAAAATCAGATAAAATTCATCTGAGGCAGCAACGGCTCGAAGGCGAACACCGATTCATTCAAACAAGGCGTTGTGACTCTTGCGTGTTGGTCGGCTCCGCGAGAGGCCCTGGCCATCGTCCCAGTGCTTCCTTGGGCCACCCGGGGCCTTCGCGGACCATCTTGAGCCACCTTGGGTTGTCTCGGCCACTTTGGGCGCTCACGGAGGCGATCTCTGTGTATTGGTCTGTCATGGGGCGCTCTTGGACAAATTTCGGGGCATCTGCAGAAGGTGTGCGTTGGCGAGGCCACGCTCCCCCCGAACGGGATTCAGAACCCCTCGGGAGGACCAGGGGAGGGGGAGAGCCGTGGATCCCACACGCCTTGCCACCCCCAGCAAGAAGTGATGGGCGGACTTAAACTTCTACGTCAGGAACCTCAAACAAGCAGGGTTTGAAGTGGGAGGTTTGTTAGGAGACGATGATCACACGGAGGCGGCGGTACCACCTGAGGAGTGCGTTCATCGCTTGGCCCTGTAGACGCGGCGCTCGCGTCTGCAACGCCTTCGCAAAGACCTATTCACTTCCCTGTTTGCGATGTGAGGTCTCAAAACATGTCGCCGTCGAGCCCTTCTTCACTTGGTCGCGGCAATGAGACCATGGATCCAACGCCAAGGCGGCGCCCCGACATTTGTTGTCACAATTCGGATCGGACATAGGTTGCTTGCAGCCTGCTGCGGCATGTGCTATCAGCAACTACAAAACAGCACGTGTGGGAATATGTTGTGGACACGCGGCTTCATGAGCTCTTACAGTCTTAGTGTAGCGACTGTCTAGCCATCGTGATGCAGACACTCTGAAGGTTTGACCAACATCATCCCCAGCTGAGCAATGAGGAACCGAGCGGCCGCATGTGATGGTGTTGTTTTGCATGTTGGTGCGGTGCATTGCTTTGAGATGCATGGCGGCATTTCTGTTTTTCTGCATCGCACTGGTCGATATTCAGAGCCCTCGTTGGGCCGCCTTGGAAGCCTCTCGAGCCATTGTGAGGCCGCGTCGGAGTCTCCAGTGCTATGCCGCCTTGGGCCATCTTGGCCCGTCTTGGTGTCATCGTGGCTGTCCTGGAAGCCATTTTGGGAGCCCCTTGAGCCGACTGGAGGCCGAGGGGAGCGCTGGAGAGCAAGTTCGAGGGGGTGGGGTCGGACGACGCGTGCCCCAGGGGGAAATGGGGGTCGGCTCTAGAAAAAAATAAGTACCTACCAACCACTAGAGTAGCATTCTAACGTGCCCACTCCGTGCAGGCACGGTCCCTGAGGCTGCTTCGCTTTTTTTGAAACGTTTTTCCGTCTGCACACGGTTTCCTGTCTAGCCTCGCCGTTGTTATACATGTGTGCATAGAGACAGGGAGAGGGAGATAGAGAGAGATAGAAAGAGAGATAGGGAGTGAGAGAGTTAGAGAGTGAGAGCGAGAGAGACAGAGAAAGAGAGAGAGAGAGAGAGAGAGAGCCACCGAGAGACATGACGAGGTAACGACAGTGTCCCGTTCTCGTCCCCATCCTGAGCGCCCGCAATTTGTTCCGCGCTCGCTGTCTCCCATCTCTGCGCTCTCGCCCCAGCACGTGGTGCGGCGAGGCTGCAGGCTCTAATCAAACAGCATCCCAGCCCGAGCGGTGGCAACCAGCAAGGCTTCGTGCAGGCTGGCGGGCAGATGAGCCCCAGCATGGGGAATCAGCAGCCGATGCAGTTCGCAAGCGTGATGCAGCCGGACGGCAGCCAGGCGCGGAGGAAATTGTGGTTGCAGTGGAAGACAGGCGTTGAGGGAGGTTCGCATTGGATGCTAAGCTGCTAAGGCTCACATACATGCCGATCAAAGAGTCATGCCTGCAGTTCTCGCCACGTGGTTGGGGCGAGGGGTTCTGGCAGGAGTTGGGTCGATGGGACAAGGTTCCTAAGGGGCTGGGCTAAGAAATTGTTCGATGTTACTACCACTGCTCGATATTTCGCAGCCCTGGGCGACCGGGGGAGCTCTGGGGCAAAGGGGTCGAAGTGATCTTGCGGAGTCCGGCCGGAAGTGGACCCATCTGACCCTGCCTCGTGTCTCTCTTCGCGAGAGACATCTGTGAGTAACCCTGTGTCTGGGACATGATCTCGAGGTGCTCGATCTATTCCCTCGACAAGGTGCTAGAGTAGTCCTTGCCATATCGTGGTAATGAATCCCCTTGGTGATCCATTTGCTGTTCTGCCTCATTTGTAAACTGAACGTCGCAACACGTTCCTCAACATCTTTGAACCACTGATTCTGGGTATACCTTTCCCCCCACCCCCGCACTGCTCGCACCAAGGGGTTGGCACTTCGTTTCTGATGGACTTGGCTGGCGTTTCCCAGTTTTCGCCTGGCGGCCGCTCATGTGCGTTTCGTCGCCACATCGCGCGATGGATGGCGTATCCAATTATTCGCCCCGATGTTCTCCCGTTGGTACTTCGTGGTTCCCCCGTTCGGTTGCCAGCGTGTCCGAGTTTTCGACCAGTGACCGCCCGCGGGCGTTTCGTGGGCGCCTCTTGTGCTGTCTTGTCGTCGCCGCCCCGCTCGCTGGATATGGCACATAGCTTGCACCACATATCCAGATTGCACCACATATCGAGCTTGCACCACATAGCCTGTACCACATAGCTTGCACCACATAGCTTGCACCACGTAGTTTGGACCATATAGCTGTACCACATGCTTTGCGCGCGCACCTTGCACCACACCTTGCACCACACGCGCACTTTCGCATGTTTCCCTTCTCCCCTCGCTCCCCCTTCCTCCTCCTCCTCCTCCTCCTCCTTGGCGGGCCGACAGTCTGTTAGACAATTTTGTTTGACAGTTCCGCTTCGTGTGAACGTACACGAGGCGAGCCGACAGCCTGTTAGACAATTCTGTTTGACAGATGACGCATCCTGGGTTTGTTCAGTGTGGCGGCTGTAGAGCATGCTGTGTCGAAGCAGCGGGGTACTGCTTTGCACGCCTTGAACAACATATTTTGCACCACGTTGCTAGCACCACATCGCTCGCATCGCACAGCTTGCACCATGTAGGCGACATCACATATATTGCACCGCATTGTCTGCCCCACATAGCCGTCCCACATTGTCCGCACAACAAAGCTTGTACTAGATCCCTTTGCACCACGTAGCTTGCCCCACGTATCTTGCACCACATGTACGTTGCACCGCGTGCTCTTCACCACAAAGCTTGCACCACATAGTTTTCACCACGTAGGCGGCCTCACATGTAAAGCACCACATGGCTTGCACCCGATATATTGCATAACAGTGAATGCACCACATCTTTTGCACCACCTAGCTTTGACCATATAGCGTGCACCGCCCCCATAGGGTGCACAACATTGCTCCATCGAGCTTGCAGCACATAGCCTATACCATATAGCTTACACCACGTAGCTTGCACCAAATAGCCTAAGCCACATAGCTTGAGCCACATAGCCTACCTCTCATAGCTTGAACCACAGCCCCTGGTACCACTCAGTTCGCGCCACCTAGCCTGTCTCCCCCAGCGTGCACCAAATGGCTTACATCAGGTATACTATCGACTCAAGAAAAGAATAGGCTCTACCACCATGTCGCACCCGGGGTTATCGCCCCCCCCCCTGAGGCATATAAATGTACATGTGATCATTCCCCATCGTTCATTTTCCATATGAAGTCCCACCATCCCAGCCCAACGGGTATCGAGACACCCCGCCATCTCTGTCTCACCATACCATGCACGCACGCTCGTTTATTCCAGAAGGTTAGTTTGCAACACGCCTTGCAACAAAAATTTAGTCAACACGTGAGCGCGCACATGTCTAAATCATGTCACCACATGTGCTTTTAAAATCGTCTCGGCATGAGCACCTCAAAAACAAAGGTGGCACATCAGCAAAGCTGCAGATTTTGTGCCAGCGCGCACTTGCTGGAATCATAGGGAGACCTTCGGCAATCTCGTCCAAATTCGGATTCTGATTTCACCACGCGGTGCATCCGCGTTGATCTAGCATGCGCCCAGTGCGCGAATCTTTTCCAAACAAACTCATGCGGGTCACATGCGCGCGCTGCCACACGCGCGTGTGAAAACTCTGCCCACTCAATGTTTCTTATAAGCATTTCAAGGCACAGCGTTTCAAAAGCCGATGGAACCCCGAAACATGTGCAACACAGAGTATGCCAGATGTTTTGAATCCGTTCGCGCGAATGTCCTCGTCACCTTCAACAGCGCCATCACATCACCGCCGCTACCGTCATCGTCAATCGCCGGCATTGCCACCACCATCGACACACACACACACACATCTTCATCACTGTCACATGGACATCGTCACCGTCAGCGTCATCACCAGCATCAGTACCGTCATTGGCCTTGCCGTCGTCAGCGCCATCATTGCCTCCACACTTGCTGGTGTCATCACCGTTTCCGCCTGTTGACACACACTAGAATGCACGCACGTGCGCGCTCCTCGCGCGCGCATGCATGTCGAAGCCATTCCATCAAGGTGTACTTTGTGATCGGCACGGTAGGTCGTTGGACACAAAACTCACGGATGTCGTAACATGATAATCGCTCGTTGCCCATTGTGAGTAAGCATTTTTCCTTGCGTTCGCGCACTTGCTGAAACCATGGGCCAATCATGGGAGCGCAACGTGCTTCCTGTCGGCCAGAAAGTACCAGGCGACAGGCGAACCACACATGCGCGCCCCAAAGCACGCTTGCCACATTATCCACACGACCACAGCGCACCAGCTCAACATATCAAGTGTAGCTGTCCAACGTGAAACTTGTCAAGAAAGGCGATGCTGGCCACACGCGCGCCCCCCCGCGAGCGCGATTCCGCGTAATACGCAATCCGTCTTTGAAGCCGTAATACGCATGAAAACCAAGTGGCGTTTCAGTACACCCAGCTGCCTGCCGCAGTCCCCGTCACCGTCATGAGGGCCCCTAGTGGCACCGAGGGGCACCTTCAGGGGGTCTTGTAGTCATTGAGGGCTCGCTGGGCCATCTCCGAATTGTCTTAAGGTAATTATCCCAGTGCGACCCTACCTAGGAGTTGGAGCAATAGTGGATGCTGTGCTGCGCTATGCTATGCTCTGCTATGCTATGCTCTGCTCTGCTCTGCTATGCTATGCTATGTTATACTATGGTATGCTGCGCAATGCTATGCTGGGCTAGGCTAGGCTAGGCTCGGCTATGCTATGCTATGCTATGGTGCGCTATGCTATGCTATGCTATGCTTTTGCTTTGCCTTCGCTTTTGCCTTCACTTTTGCCTTTGCGTTTGCTTTTGCTTGGCACCCAGGGAGCGCAACTGGGGGAACCGCGCGTTTGATTTTACCTTTGCTGTTGCTTTTGCTTGGCTCCCAGGGGACCGGGGGAACCGCCCAGGGCGGGTTCCACTGCCCGGCCCTTTAAGCCAAGCGAGTAAGAACCTTTCTAGGCAGAGCCTAGGTAAGGAATCAGTTTACGACCCACGCGAGCTCAGCGCGCGGCCTGAGCTCGCGTGGATCGTCAAGTCGACTTCGTTTCCTCCGTCTAGGAACCTTTTTGGGGCCGTCTTGGAGTGTTCTCGGGCAGTTGTGGGGCCATGTGGGCGCTCTCTTGAGGCACTGTTGGGCCGTCGTGGGACACAAGGGGGTGCGGTTTTCTAAGGACGCTTACTAGTGGGAAGGGAGGGCTTAGAAACATCCGAGAACTTGTGCCAGGCATCAGAAGAGCTTCCCTAACACACCCCAAGATGCCTGCGGCACGATCCCAGACAAATGTCAAGTATTTGTCAACGTAATGTGCCCCGAATTCCCCCATTTCTATCACTTGCCGCCCGGGAACGCATTTGCATGAGAAATGTCCGCGTGTGATTGCGATTATTGAGGTTCCCGAACAAGGGTCGACAGGTAATTGCACTCACGGTCCCCATGAGTCTTGCCAGCATGTTGCCTACGATTGGGTGGGATGCATTATTTAGCATTGGAGTTGACTTCGAGCTCTTCAAATACATTGCACCACACAGCCTGCACCACACAACTTGCGACTCGTAGCTTGAAAACCTTGCACCGCACGTTTTGCACCACAACTTGCGCATCCAGGATGCAATAGCTTGTTGCCTGGGCCCACGCTGACAACCATATGCTTCTGAGTTCGTCGGTTCTTGACCGTTTCCTGTTTCTGTGTGTTTGCGTGCGTGCGAGGGAGAGAGAGCGGGAGATATGGATAGGGGATTGGGTAACCCGAGCATGGCTTGGTTCCTTTCGAAGAGTTGGTCATCAGTATGTCCAGGGTCTAGAGGTTGTCGTGGGACCTGCCCACACGGATGAGAAGGAACAGCATTGTGTTACAATAGGGTTCCGACCAGGAACCGAATACAATTTTGGGGGGCATCGGTGAAGTGGGGGTTCCATGGTGCGGGTTTTTATGTATCATTTCTTAGGTTCGGGGTTCGTTTTTTGAGTGTGGTGTTTCCGCCTCCTTCTGTCCTTCCTGTCCACTCGCTCACCTCCGTCCTCCTTCACAGCTCCCATACTCGTAGTTGCCCATGCTCAGGATCTTTCAGACTCAGGCTCGCGCGAACCCTCGTATCCAATCATACTTAGACCCGAACTCAGATTCAACCACGCTGAGGTGCACTGTCACTCAGGCTCCCCCACATTCGACCCACTCAAATTCTAGCTCCTCCGCACGCAGGCTCACCCGTACCCAAACTCGACCATACTGAGGACGACTCACAGTCAGGCCTTTCCATGCTCATAACCTCACGTATAGATTAGTCACAAGCGTAACTATTCATATGCGTACCCATTCACTCATACCCTGACCCTATGGTCACAGCGATGCAGCATGCATGACACTCGGGTCCCCTAGGGGGGGACCGCCTGGTATATTGCACGGGCCCGCCCGCGCTTATATTGTCGGGGCCTCTCAGGTCGAATTGCTTTGTTTGGTGGGTAGCCGCGTCTTTGTATAAAGCTTCATGACCATGGCGACGTCGCAGGCATGCCACCTAGGCCTCCCAAGGCGGGGCCTCCGTGGAGTAATGCACTGGCCTGTTCTCGCCCAGCGTGTGGACGAGTTGCAGTTTGTGACGGGTGGAGGTAGCTGCGTCTTTCTTCAGTGCCCCATGATCTTCGTGATATAGCAGGCATGCCAGTTGGGCGTCCCAAGGGGCAGCCGCCACCTTTGCCACCCGCCTGGCGACCTGCCCCCCCCCGACCCACCTGGCGATCGAGCGGATTTTTTGGTAGCGAACCATGGGGGCCTCGTATGCGCTTGCAATTCCGTCCTCAGAGTGCACTCGCGTCGATGAGCGTTTGGTAGTCGATGAGGAGGCGCTGATCCAGCGTCGATTCGCATCGGCCAGCGTCGGCCAGCACCGATTCGCACGAGCCATCACTATGGTGTGGGGGGCCCCCCTGAGTTGCCACCGAACGCCTCGCGAGCGAGCGGCCCCTCGACCCTCTCGTCGCAGCAGGCCCACACTTGCCTTGGAAGTGAGGGTAGCCCGCGGCGGGCTGCATTTGCCAGCGCGTGTACCTTATTATTCGACTTCTGGCGATGGCCCCATCTAAGACGCCTCTGTGCGCGCGTACCCCGACTGATGATATCGCGTGCTCCGCGCAGGGTGCTGATGTTGGCCACAAGCAGGCGGTGGCGAACGGGCTTCGTGTCCAGCCTCGCAGCGCAGATCGTGTGCGCAGCGACCTTGCGCGACGTGTGGAGATGATGTTCCCTGCGGTCGTGGGCCAGGCCCGGGCAGGAAGAAGCGTTTTGCATTATGCGCGGTATTCGGTTCGTTGCCCAGGCCATGTTCACAGCCGTGCCGCAGATGATGGTCGTGTCTCCAACGAACGCGGGCATGCAGTCGGCTGCTTAGCTCGACACATGGAAGCGGGATCATCATTCTGGCCAGGGGGGCATGTGTTCGCGTGTTGCAAGCTTGTGCGATTCCACAGCCTGTTCCATGTGGCTTCCGCACAATTCCCGACACCCCTGTCTGATACGGCCACCATTCGCAAGTTTGTCTACCCGACATCAAGCAAGTTGCAACAACTTGGTTCCAAGGTGCACAACTCATGTCAGCGCACCAATATTCCAGATGATGACGCCCTTCCCCTGACCCCTAGAAGTGGAGACGTGCGGCCTCCGACGTCGTATGAATTGTGTGCCGCTTCCCGTCGTGCTGCCTGTGTGTAGCTGTTGCTGATGTGTCCTCCTCTTCCTCCGCACCTACTTCGGGGCTTACTACGTCGGCCTCTTGCAGTCTTCGGGGGCGGCCTCGTGGCAACTTTTCAGGGCTCCAGGGGCGTTTTGGGGGCCATTCTGGCTTCGGTTACAGTTAGTAAGCACTCATGCCGCTTTCATCTGCCAATGCCCCCAATGATCAAAGTTGGCGATGGGTTAAATGAGTTGCACTTCGACCGCAGTCTATCTCGCGCGTGCCAACTTTGAATGTAGGGAAGAGGGGGAGTGTTCACAAGTTGTTTCCCTCTATCGTCTGGGTGCCTCTTTGGGGCATGTTGGGTGGGACTTGGGGGCCATGTTTTCGGGGAGGGCCCCTGCGTGTTCTCCCTCTTGGGCACCTCTCCTCGTGGGGTCCTCGCCGGCCGTTCCAAGGCCCTCATGGGGGCTTCCTGGGCCGTCGTGTGCCAGTCCGGGGTGGGACCTCGCGGGCCGCACAGGGTGTGCGTGAATCCGAAAAAGACGAACACGCGAGCATCTTCAAACATTTGGGACATTAGTTTCGTTTGTCTTCTGAGGCCCTGTCGGGGGTTCGCTTGGGGGGCCCTCTTGGAGCATGACGGGGGACCCTCTTGGGGCGTCTTGAGGTCATCATGGGTGCCTTTGGGACCTCTCTTGCCTGTTGGAGCCCTTCTTGGGACATTTGGGAATGCGTCTTGGTCATCTTTGAAGCGCCGGGCGGTGGTCTTCCTGGAAAGCCCCAGGGGTGCGATGACGAGCTCGCCCCGCCCCCCCTACTGCGATGTGGGCCCCGAGGGGGGGGGGAGGGGGGCGGGGGAAAAGGGGGAGGGTGTCAGCCACAAGATTTTGTTTTGTTCTCTCTTTTCTTTTTTATTGTTTTGTTTTCTCTCTCTCTCTCTCTCTCTCGCGCGCTCACACACACGCACACACTCTCGCCCCTGGCAAGAGAGGGTCGGCGGATTTTAAGGATATTGGTTCAGGATTCTGCCTTGTGAACATATTGTCGGTCAGTGGGAGCTGACAAACATAGTTAGTTATCCGCTACCAGCGCCGCCTGAGCGCATGAATAAACACTTCATGGTTTGGTGTCGATGTGTGGCATAATGCTTCCTGAGGTTCTACCACACTGCACGGCCGAGGGACTTTGCATTCGTAGATTGCCAAGGGCCTTGCGGCCGGTGCCGCTGACCCTGAGGTTGGGGAGGAGGGCGCGGAACATGGGGAGGACAATGAGGAGGGGGACAGGAGGAAAAGGTGGATGAGGAGGAGTAGGAGCACAGGGGGGGAATGAATAGGAGGAGAGTGAGGCGAGCAGGGTCGCATGTACAGGTGGAAAGGAGGGCACGAAGGAAGGGCAGGGGCGAGTAGAGCGTGGCGATCATGAGGAGGAGAAGGAGGAAGATAATGGCGAGGATGTTGACGATGCTGACGACGACGCCGGTTGCCTATCAGGACTATTCGGGGCGTCTTGGAGCCCTCTTGGGGCGATTTCCAAGCTTCGTTCGCTGTTTTGAAGCTAGGTTCGGCATCTAGGGCATCTGGGAGGCTACGGAGTGTAGATTTGGAGGGCGCTGGGGCGGGGACCTTGACCGGGGCCGGGGCCGGAGCGGGCCGGGAACCAGGGCCGGGGCCGGGGTCAGGGCCAAGGCCGGGACCGCTTTGAGGGTCCCATCTGCTCTAATTAGGAATGCAGATTCTCTATTAATTGGCAACGACTGCCTTTTTCTTGGCTAGCGACGAGAGTTTTTTCCAGGATGTGACTAGTTTGGGGGTGAAGCTGACAACGTTGCTCACTGCGGGGACTTCTTCCCTCCTGTACAGGAGGGGACGGAACAACTAACAAACACAACATATCCCGATCCGAAACCGTTTGGGCTCAAGTTGTGTTGTAGTACGTATGGCCGAGCGTGTGAGGATTACCGCCACGGTTGCGAATTTGGAAAGTTGGTGAAGTCTTGCCAGGCGGAAATCATGCATATGAGAATTTACCAGTCCGACATGGGCGATCTCGTCGCCAACAACGTGGGGTTTCTGGGCAATGTGAGCCTCAATTGCGAGAGGCGCTCATCAAAATCGGCATCGCCAAGGACGACGCCAACATGTGCGCGGGACAGCTGTCGGCTGCCCTTCCGCACGCCCCCATGACGCGGAGAACGGCCGTGGACGGATCGCAGTTGCACCCCGCAGTGAAGCGCGTCGGCCAGATTGGAATGCCAGAACCAGGCGACAAGAAGACCTCGACGACAAGGGCCTCTAGCAGGAGCAGATCCCCCGCGAGGCCCGCGAGCGCCCCTGCCTCGGCAGGCGGGTCCGCGACGAGCCCGGGGTCGATCTGCAAGGCGCACCGCGCGGAGGGCCCCACGGGGATCCCGTTGAGCAGGGGGGCGAGGATCTTGGCGCCACGCGGCAGTGGCCCCATCAGCATCGCGTCTTCGCCAGGCGGCGCCGCCGCTGCCGCCGCCGCCCCCGCGAAGAACCAGCGCGAGAAGTGCGACGGGGAGAAGGGCGACTTGGAGATCTTCGCTGTCGACGACGAGCGCGCGCCCCTGATGGGGCAAAGCGGCGCGGCGACCGCGGAGTGCGAGTTGGCGCGGCGCCGGGGCCCGAGGGCGCGCGCGCGGCCAGGGCGCGCGGCGGCGACGCGGAGACGGAGGCGCCGAATGCCATGCACGAGACGTGGCCCAAGGAGAAGCCGCCGAGCCATGGCGCGCCGCTCAAGAGGCCCGCGGCCGCGAAGAAGCCCGCGGGGGCATGGCGCGAGGGGGGGCGCGCCCTCTCCGAGCAGGAAGACAGCGGGTGGGGGGGGGCGAGCCCGACGAGGTCGAGGACCTCGAGACCCCCGCGGCAGCGCCTGAGACCGCCGCAGCGACGCCCCCTGAGAGGAAATATTTCGCGATGTGGCACAAGAGCGACTTATGCAGCGCCGCGCGGGAATCTCTCGGCAACCAGCACCAGGCGCGCGCCATCGGGAAGAAGGCCGACTCCTAGAGCAAGGCGAAGATGATTAAGGCGGCGGAGAAACTCGTGGAGTTGCTCCACGATGAGAAAGATTTCGCTGCTTGCGCAGATTCCCGCCAACATGGCACGCGACGTGGCAGAACGTGACAGTACATGACGCAACAACCCTGGAATCAGAAATGCACGGCGGCCCGCGCGGCGGGGCGCGCGCCCCCGCGGGTTCGACCGCGCCCCCTGCGAGCGGAAGGGCAACGGGATCTCGGTGCCCCTGCGAGGCGTCGCAGCGCGGTGCACGTGAGAAGGCTCGGACAGAAGCGGCGCCAGTGCCGCTCCTGCGCAGCGGTTGGCGCGGCGGGCCGATTGCGGGCAAACTGCATTCGGGGGCGGCATTTGCGCGCGTGCATGCATTCGCATGCGCGCGCAATGCAGGCGAATTTCGGCGGCGGCGGGCGGCGGCGAGCTCGCGTTGGCGACGGCA